GAGCTGTCCATCCATGTAAGTGGGGTGTTAAAGTCCCCTGCTATTACTGTATTGGTATCAATTAGTTTCTTTGTTATTAAGTGTTTTATGTATTTGGGTGCTCCCTTGTTGGGTGCATAAATATTTATAATTGTTATTTCTTCTTGTTGGATTGTCCTCTTTATTTTTATATACTGTCCTTCTTTGTCTCTTTTACAGTCTTTGTTTTAAAGTCTCTTTTTTTTCCAATGAAAGGATTGCTACTGTGGCTTTTTCTTTTGACTTCCATTTGCATAATAAATGTTTCTCCATCCCCTCACTTTCAATCTGCATGTGTCTTTAGATCTGAAATGAATCTCTTATAGGTAGCATATAGATAGGTCTTGTTTTTTAATCCACTCTGTCATTCTGTGGCTTTTGATTGGAGAGTTTGGTCCAGTTACATTCAAAGTAATTATTGACAGATTATTGCCATTTCGTTACTTGTTTTGTGGTTGTTCTTATAGTGTTTTTCTGACCTTCCACTTCTCTATTTCATGGTTTGCTGGCTTTCTTTAGTGATATACTTGGATTCTTTGTATATCTGTTACTGGTTTGTTTTGATTTGTGGTTAACATTAGGTTTGTGTAACATCTGCATATAGAGGTCTATATGAAGTTGATGATTGCTTAAGTTTGAACCCACTCTTTACTTCTCCCACTGTGTGTTAGGTATATGATGTCATATTTTTACATCCTTTTATTTTGTGAATCCCTTGACTGTTTTTTAAAGAAATACTTATATTATTACTTATTTTATATTTCCTACTTTTCATACTCTCACTTATGATCTTTCTTTTCCATTCAGAGTCTGCTTCAGTAATTCTTGTAGGACTGGTTTAGTGGTCATGAACTCCTTTACTTTTTATTTCTCTAAGAAGCTCTTTATCTCTCCTTCTATTCTGAAAGATAGCCTTGCTAGATAGACTATTCTTAGGTGCAGATTTTTCCCTTTTAGCACTTTGCAGGCTGGAAGGGAATGGCATGATATAGTCAAAGTTTTTGCTAAAAAATCTGCTGATAGCCTTGTGGGGCTTCCCTGGTATGTAACTGTCTTTTTCTCTTGTTGCTTTTAACATTCTTTATCACTGGGGTGCTTGGGTGGCGCAGTTGATTAAGCATCTACCTTTGGCTGGGGTCATGATCTTAGGGTCCAGGGATTGAGCCCCACATCGAGCTCCCTGCTCAGCAGGGAGTCTCCTTCTCCCTCTCCCTCTACTCCTCCCCCTTGCTCGGTGCTTGAACTCTCTCTCTCTTGCTCACTCTCAAATAAGTAAATCTTTAACAAAAAAATCATTCTTTATCACTACTTTTTGCCACTTTAATTACTGTGTGTCTTTGGTTTGGACCTCCTTGTGTTGATGTTTTTTGTGGGGATCTCTGTGCCTTCTAGATCTGGATATGTTTCCTCCCCCAGATTAGGGAAGTTTTCACCTATTATTTCTTCAAATAAATTTTCTCCCTTCTTTTCTTCTGGGATCCCTATATTGTGAACGTTATTACACTTGATGGAGTCCCTGAGTTCCCTAAGTCTCTTCTCACTTTACATAATTGTTTTTTCTCTCACTTACTCAGCTTGATTATTTTCCATAAACTCTGTCTTCCAGGTCATTAATTCATTCCTCTGCTTCCTCTAGCCTGCTATTTATTCCACAAGTGTATTTTTAATTGCAATTACTGTATTCTTCATCTCTGACACGTTCTTTTTTTCTCTGTGTTAAGGGCCTCACAAATGTCCTCCACTCTTGTCTCAAGTCCAGGGAATATCTTTGTGATCATTACTTTAAATTCCCTATCAGGCTTATTACTTATCTCTGTTTCGTTTAGGTCTCCTGCTATGATTTTGCCCTGTTCTTTCATTTGGGACATATCCCTCTGTTTCTTCATTTTGCTAGCTCTCTGGGTCTGTTTCTGTGTGTTGGAAAATCAGCTACGTCTGTTGCTCTTGAAAGCAGTGGGTAAGGCCCACACTTCAAATAACAAGGTCATGTTGGTCCCCTTCACAGGGATCTCTCAGCTGCCTCCAAGACCAAGCCTGCCTGGGTTGCTTCATAAAGTGCGTGCAGGTGGGGGCAGGGTGCTGCAAACTGTTCCCTTGGGTGCCCTTCTGCTGGGATCGTGTAGCCTTTGGGGAGACTGGGAGGCCAGCCAGGGTAGCTCTGGGAAGTATGGAAAAGTGAGGTCTCGGTGCCATAAGCTATAGGCACCATTCCTTCTCCACAGGGGACACTCAGCCACTGCGGAGAGTGGGGCTGGCCATGGCCGCTCCATGAAGTGCATCTGCATAGGGGTGCAGTTTTAACAAGGTGCATGCTGTCTTCTGAGGGAGGTAGGAGATGTGGTCTCAGCAAGGTTGGGTGGGCTTCTGAAGGAAGGAAACCACAGCACCAGGACTGAGGTAGCCTAGCTGGAGGGGGCAGGGCATGGTATAAACAAGTTTGGTAGTGAGTGCTGGCTGTTTCCTGAAGTTGGCTTTGTGATTATGCTGGGGGTGGGGGAGGGAAATGGTGCCCGTCAACTCCTTTGTTTCTGGAGAAGTCTCTCCGGGAACTCTGAGATTAGTAACTAACTTTCCCTCTTGTCTACCCCAGGCATTTTTCAAAATGCTGCTTCTAAGCTGTATCTCCTCAGGCTATTTGTTCTGCAGACTCTTTAAGGGTGAGGACTCAGCTTCCTATAGCCTGCCCTCCAGTCTCTCCTTGACTGCCTGCTGATTTTTAGCATTCCAGGCTTTAAGTCCTGCTGGTTATAAGAACTCACAAAATCAGTCCTTCTGATTTTCAAAGCCAAATGCTATGGAGATTAGTATGCAGGCTCCTTGTGTGATAGTCTGTTTCTTGCTGTTCTCCTGTGTTTATAGCTTCCTCCCTCCGGTATCCAGAAGTTCTGTGTTTAGCTCTCCACCATGTCTCTGACCTTCCTACTCTCTTTAATGTGACCTCTTCCTCACATTTAGTTGTGGAGTCTGTTGTGCTAGTCTTCAGGTACTTTTCTGGGTTATTTGCACTGATGTGAGGGTTATCTAGTATATGTAGGATGACGTGAGCTTAGGGTCCTATTCTACCATCTTCCCTGGAAGTCTTGCCCTATTAAATTTTTAATTCACCTGGTAGATGAATGCAACTGTCGGTAGCATGGGGCTTTACATATCTGTGTTGGAAATTATCTACTTATGACTTATTAAAGAAGGGTACCAGTGGGGAATATGCAGCACAGATGTTAGGAGTATGGACTTAGAGTTACCTGTGCTTTCAGATGAGCTCCATCATTCACTGGGAGAATGACATCGGGCAAATAACTCAGTCTCTGTGAGACTCAGTTTTTCTTTATGTAAAGGCAGAATACAAATACTAGCTTACAGTGTTGGAATTTTTCCTTGAATAAAGCTCAGGGTCTCATTTCCTGTATGTAGAATGGGAATACTTATTGGCTGCCTACTGTGTACTGTATATGATGGTGATTGTAGGGATACAGAAAGGAAAGATACCACCTCTGGTCAAACCTCATACCTGGTGTGGTGGGTAATATCAGAAGATAAACCAAAAGGGCATGTTAAATATTAAGTTGGGAGTATGCATAAGCTACCGTGCTGCAGAAGGCGGGATGGCGTGGTGGCAGTGGGGAGAGTTGTCAAGGACAGCTTCTAGGAGAGCTATCACGTTAGCCACTAGCTGGAACTCCAAGGACAAGCGTGAATGGGAAGGGTATTCTGGGAAGAGGAAATAACCTCTACAGAGGTGAAGAAACATGAGAAGATACTCTCACTTAGGGGACTCCAGGGTAGTGAGTATGATAGGAGCCAGGGGTGCAGAACTGTGAACATTAAGGAATAAGCTGAAGGAGATAGCAGGGGTTGCTAGATCAAAAGGGCTGGGTGTGCCTTGTTAGGAGTTGACTTTATCTGGAAGACGGAGGGAAGCTGCCTAACCCAGTTTGGCCTTTAAGGAGATTACCTAAGCAATGGAATGGAATGTGAATTGGAGTGGAAGCTGGTGAGCCCAGAAATCCTGAGGATGTGGTTTCAGTAATCCAGGGAAGAAATGATGCAAGCTTGTGCTAAGATCGATGCAAAAGGGAAAGAAGACTGTCAGGAGTTTAGGAAGTAAAAAAAGAAGCACCTAGAAATAGCTTTCATTGTTTGTGTTGGGTGCCTGGGTATGTTTTAGTAAATATGGGAAGAGATAAGTTTTGAGATGGGTGGGTAAAACTAGTTTAAAGTTAGATACTACTTCATATTCTTCTGTAAAATGGGATATGATAAAAGTAATAACTTCTAGGGTTATGAAGATCAAATGAGTGGAAACATGTATTTTGAACTTAAAGTATTATTCCATAAGGGCCATATGTTGATCCGTAAAAACAATAATATGATTAATCTTGGCATTGCTAGGCAGAGGTGCCTGAAGAATGCTAAGTGGACAGGTAAAGGAAGAAGCTAAATACATGGGAAACGCAGGAGAGTGCTGGCTAGGACACGTCGACTGCAGATACAACAGGGTGTAGGTGGTGGTTGAAACAGTGGACAAGATCACCTGGGGAGAGCATATCGCAAGGAAAGACCAGGGTCAAGTTTAGGACCTTTGGGACAACTAGAATTGAGACAGGATCCAGAGGAGGAATAACCAGACAGATAGAAGGAAAACCAGGAATGTGCTCTGTTGGAGAAATCAAAGAAAGTTGGCATCATCAGCATCAGATGCCGTAGGACATGGGCTACAGAGAACAGATCGAAAGCTGTAGCTTGACTTCAGCTTGTGGCACTGGTCATCTTGGGAATAGTTCCACTGGTGGGCACAAGAGACGGATCATGATGGATTGAAGACTGAACTATGAAGAGGTTTAATTCCTTCATACTAAAAATGAAAATTAAATATCCATCTGGCATATCTGCTTAGACAGAAATTGTTGCATTGACATAGTGCCACAAGGAAGTGGTATGAGGAAGGTATGATCTGGATTAAAATCTTAACTATTTTTTCACAGGGTTCTGCTTCAAAAACTGCAGACACATCAGGCAGGAATATATCCAAGCCTGACTCCTCCAATTTGAGGAAAACACCTGGTTCAAAAGCCAAAGCGGGGCCTTCTGTTTCCTGTTTGAGGAGGAATAGTGACAGTAGAAATCTCAATTCTGATCGGGCCTTATCTCCACAGAGGATCAGGCGTGTGTCCAGTTCTGGTAAGAATAGAAGAAATCAGTTGTGCCTTATAGCAGTTTGTGAATTATTTGAATGTAAAATTAAGCATGTCAGAAAGCAGAAAGACAGGTTTTGATTATAAAACTAACACATTTTGTCACTACAACATTTAGGTTCTTGTGGATCAGCATGTTACGTAGGGAAGGGAGAAAAAGTCATAGACACAGCTCTGATCTTTGAGCAACGTAAAGCCTAGTTAGAGAAATAGGTGCATAAAACAACTAAGTTATTAAGAAAAATCATAAACGGGTGCCTGTTATATACAAATTTCACAATTAGAAAATTTTTTAATAATAGTTAAGTGTTACATACGAGACTCATGGTGGGCCCTCACTGTGTGAAAAGAGATTAGTTTTTCCTTGAGTTTTATTGAAAGGTGTGTGGTAAGTTTTCAGGGATATAAGAGTGACTAAGAAGTTAAACTTTGCTAAGATGAACTTTTATTTACGTTGGTGTATATTTTAGAAGTAGTAGTTTCGAAGGCCTGTCAGGTTTATGAAATTTGAGCGCTTTAAGAGTAGCTATTAAGTGTCTTACTAAAAATTTGGCAGATGGACAGACTTCTCTGGGTTACAGATCAGAACAGGAAATGGAAAAGTCAGCCTGTTTTGTAGAGACTAAGAAAAAACACTGCTAGCCATTCCAGTTGACTGAGAACACTCTGTAGGGAACACCCTTTATTTTAACAGGTATAACCTTGTGTGAATTAAAGGCATGCCTGATAGATTTAGAAGTAAGTTCTATAAAAATAGTGACTACTCTTGAATGGTCTGGGGGCGGGGGGGAATACCTCTAGAGTGATGTGTCAACACATGTGAGAACATTTAGCAGAAACTAACAAAACCAGGCAGATCCCAGAGGATCTCATTACTTCTCTACACCTTGATAGTTTCGGGTTTTATTTTCTAATTCTATTTTGAGGCCTCCTGTGTGAGAAGCCTATAATGAGCAGAAGTGTTTGAAGGGTGATTTGTTTGGATTCAGGCCTAGCATTAAGATCCTGAGGCTCGGAGGAGCAAAACCAGGACGAGGTATGGGTGGGAGGAAGAGGGATGTAGCACATTCCACTCCCATCCCTGGAGGAGCTGAGTGGGAAGAAAGAATTCACTTGAAGTCTTCTTCATTGGGGAGAAAACTGGAAGAGGAACAATGATCCTGATTTTAGAAATTGCCACAGTTAGTGAGTTGAGGCGTAAGTGAGATCAAAGCTTTGGTTCTTAGTGTTGATGGCAGGGTAAGGGGAACGGTGGTTGCCAGATGATGGGGAGCTCCCTTCCTGTTTGGATGTTAGGAGTGCCTGTGGCTTGGTGGAACTGTGGAGCTGTGGCCACTGGCACGGTGGCCTCTAGGTTAGAGGCTCTGTATTCTAGTAATGCTCTGGCACCAGTGAGCTACGCAAGCGAGGTGTTTCCCTACCCTGGGCCTCAGCCTTGCGTTGTGAAATGTGGGTGTTTGAGAATGTCAGGACCTGTCAACTTTTACACTCCTTATCTTTCTACGGGCAGTCTGGGGGCTCGCCTAACTTCCTGGGCAGTGGCTACTACTAGTAAGATTCTCTGGACCACAGGATGCTCAAAACCCAGAAAACCAGAAGTGCGCATACTCTCCGGAGATTAGGCCGGTACCCAGGACATGCAGTAGTCCCCGGCTCTCCGGGGTTCTGCTTTCAACGATTTCAGTTAGCCGTAGTCAGTCATGGTGCAGAGGCAGGTGATCCTCCTTCTGATGTTTGGTTACAAAATCAGTAGTAGCCTAACACTAAATCATAATGCCTAGATCATTCACCTCAATCCATCTCCTCGTGCATTTGTCACCTCACATTATCACAGGAAGAAGGGTGAAGATATTTTGAGACAGACCATGTTCACATAACTTTTATTATAGTATATTGCTGTAATTGTTTTATTGTTAGTTGTTGATCTCTTTCTGTGCCTCATTTATAAATTAAACTTGTTCATAGGTAATGTATGTGTAGGAAAAAAAGCAGTACACACATAGGGCTTGGTCCTGTCTCTGGTTTCAGGCATCCACTGGAGGTCTTGAAACGTGTCCCCTGTGGTTGGGAGGATGGGGGGCGGGGGCGCAACTTTATTTTCAAAAATGGAAATTTTTTTTATGTAGTTGATCAGTTCCACCAAAGAGTTAAGCATTTTTAAAGTCCCCTTTCCATATACTACAGAATATCCTGCCTTAAGAGAAAAGTAGGCCTGTTTTAATGAAAAGCCAAGCACATTTATTTAGCTTTTATTAACCTGTATAAAGAAACTTGATAACTAAGTTATATATTCAGAGTTTTCAGTCTGAGTTACAAAAACTAAGTTTTCTTTTACCTGGTGGTTTTCTGTATAGAAATGGGAAAAAAAATTAATGTAACCAGAAACTTCATGGATTCACATTTGAGTTTTTATTTGAACTGTTGGAAGACTAACTTGATTATGCTGTATTTAAAAAACACAAAAACAAAAAACAGCAACTAGCTTGTTTGGATGCTCACAATAAATTGAGAGGTGTTTGTTGTGGGGGACAGGAAATTTAATCACCACAGAGTTAAAAGTAGAGCATAAGATCAAGGAGCAAAAACAATGTGCCTTTAGATCACTGAGAGTGTGTTACCATAGTACAATACAATGAGGTGTTTGTGCGTTAGAAAATTGAAACCAAATGGACATCCTCTGTACTCTGTATACAAAGTTACTCTCCTGAAAGGTAAGCAGCAGGAATGTTCCAGCCCACTGGGGTTTTCAATAAATCCTTTCAGAGAACTAAGTAAAAACCCAGATCTGGACTTGAAATAGCCATTTTCTTGAAGCTTTAACCTGAGTATGAGAAAGAATTGTGATTAAACCCATTTTATTTGTCAAAATCTGGAAATGGTAATGTACAGCATGATGACCATAGCCCATGCTACTGTATGATCTGTATGAAAGTTAAGAGAGCAAATCCTCACAATCCTCATCACAAGGAAAAAAAAATTTTTTTTTGCTCTTTATTGTGTCTGTATGAGATGGATGCTAATTAAATTTACTGAGGTCACCACTGCACGGTATATGCAAGTCAAGCCATTATGCTGTACTCCTTAAACTTACACAGTGGTGTGTGCCAACTAGATCTCAATAAAACTGGAAAAATAATTTTTAAAAAAAAGGAAATTTGTATGAAATCAGATTATGACTGATGACAACAAGGCAGATTCAAAGTATCTTTGTTTAGAGTATATGTGTGGTTTTTTTTTTTGTTTGTTTTTTTAAAGATTTTATTTATTTATTTGACAGAGAGACAGCGAGAGCAGGAACACAAGCAGGGGGAGTGGGAGAGGGAGAAGCAGGCTTCCTGTGGAGCAGGGAGCCCCATGCGGGGCTCGATTCCAGGACCCTGGGATCATGACCTGAGCCAAAGGCAGACACTTAACGACTGAGCCACCCAGGCGCCCCTAGAGTATATGTGTGTTTTAACCGCTCCAATTAAATAAGATGAGATTGTGAGGAGAAGTAGGATAATAGTAATTATAATGCCAATGATAGCAGCTAAACTTACAAAATACTTACCAAGTTTTAGGCTCTGTCTTAATCATTTCATTGAGTGCATTTAATCCTCACAGTAGTTTTGTGAGGCTTATCCTCATTTTACAGAGGAAAACATCACACAGAAATTAAATAATTTGTCAAGGTTACGCAGCTAGCAAGTGGCAGAGGTAGGATTCAAACCAGGTGATAGGGCTCTGGAGCCCATTCTCTTAGCCTTCACATTATCAGTCTAAAGAACTACTCTTGGGGCACCTAGTGGCTCAGTCGTTAAGCATCTGCCTTCGGCTCAGGTCATGATTTCGGGGTCCTGGGATCGAGCCCTGCGTCAGGCTCCCTGCTGAGCATGGAGTCTGCTTCTCCCTCTCTCTCTGCTCCTCCCCTCTGCCTGTGTGTGCGCTCGTGCTCTCTCTCTCTCTCTCAAATAAAATCTTAAAAAAAAAAAAAACTTTTAGTATGACTATGAGTTTTGAAAAATTAAAATCCTCACACTCAACTGAATGGTTTAGAAATTGGCATTTCTCTTCTCAGGCCCTTGGCTTACAGCTCTCTGTCAGTTTACCATAATTTAAAAGATGCTACATGGTTATTGCAAATTAATGCTGCTGAGTAAGTCACTGAATAGTTAAATACTTCATGATTCATTCAGTCATCTTCAGACCTATCAGCCACCCTCTTCTGAAGGCAATACCAGTTCTTATCAGGTTTTAGATTATGAATGTGTGTTTTCCTTCTTACAGAGCTGTAATTGCGCTTCCAGTGACCAGCCTGAGCAAGGTAGGATTACAGAAGTAGGACAGAATACACTCCCCGCCCTGTGGATCATGTAACCTACCTGGGGAGGGCAAGAGCTTGTTTATGACGCAACCACAGAGCAGCACAAAAAGGGTGTATAAAGGGTGTGGAAAGGCCCCTAAATGCTTTAGGACTCTGGGGGAAAAAGAAGAATGTTCAGGGGTTGGTCTGATTATACCAGAGCCTGAAGAAAGACCTCATGAAAGAAATAGTCTTTAGTTTTTCTGGAGAAAGAAAAATAACATTTCGAGAGGATAAACCTTTGCTTTAATTCAGTTTATTGTGGGTTAATAAAATAAATGCCTCTCAAACCAGGAGTACATCCCAAACTTGTAATGACTTGCCTAGCATTATAGGTTTCTGAGCTTTCTTGCTAAGTTGTTTTTTCCATAGTTGTTTTTTGTAAGCTAATTTTGTCTATTTCATGTTAAAGGGACTTGAAAATCATTTCGATTCACTTTTATATCACTTCAGTCTTTTCTAGGTGAGAGTTTGAGAGAAATAGCTAGCAGAATTATGAGAAGGATACTCGCGATACATTCTTAAAAACCAGAAATCATCCCCTAGTAACTTGTTCTAAAAGCTAACTTTAACGTGTTGGTTTTGATGCTTCTATATTTGCATGTAATTAAAACACTTTTTAAAGAAGGTATCTCAAGTTTTCT